TTTGATTTCAATTATTTTTTCGCCTATAGATACTACATAGTGATTTAATAAAAACTAAAAAAAAAAAAGTTTTGAGTTCAGATTCATCTCTCGAAGAAACTTTTTTCAAAACTTCTGAATATTTTTTTTATGAAGATTAATCTAGTTGGGTCGTCTATCTGCGCAAAGTTTCAGATCAAAACTTAATTGTTTTGTCAAATATTAATAGGATTTCAAAATCTTTTAGAATTTTTATGAGAATACTATCTATGTAATATCTCTAGGGAAAAGAAGTCATTGAAATAGAAAGGAGGGTGCTGAAGAGACCTTCTGTTTAGCTAATAAGATAATATGATTTTGCATCCATTAGTAACTCACGAAGAGAAAACTAAAAGATGCTCGAAAAGTTTCAATGTCTTTCAATAAATTGTTAATATCTATGACAAATTTATACATGGTTAATTCATCAAAATATGCAATTCTACAGAAAAAGATTAGAGTTATTATCTGAAAGAAAAAAAACGATACTTCAAAATGTATAAATGTATTATCATATCATAGCCATTATACAAATCTTGAGTGAATATTTTCATCGTACATTTTTTCTTGGTAAAAGAAATCTTTTTATAATAGTTGTATGTTTCTTTGCTCGTAGAATTTTTTTATCAGACTTTTCATCTTAATGGAGTAATATTCATTACCTTGACTGTTTACAATTGTAATTTCATAACACTTCATATAGACAGTCTCATTTTATGAAGGTTACCATTTTCAACTTATTCTCCAATATGTCAATTACTTTGAGTTTTTTTTTTAAAGCCTCAGTGTTCATTTCAAAGTCAAATAGATGATGCATAGACAATAGAAAATTTATGAAGTATCATTCGACAAGATTTAAATATGAAGATATCAAATACAAAAATTTATTGATATATGAAAAAATTTTCCTGTAAAAAAAAAACATATGAAAAAATGATTGATAGTGTTCGGAAAAGGTTGAAAACAAGGTCAATGCATCACAAAATTTGATTGATGATATTTATACGAAATGTCAATCCGATAAACTTATAAGTTATTTAGATATGTTTCGATCAATTAACAATAAATATATATTTAGATTTGTCGTAGGTATCGTTCATTTAGGTATTGAGCGGGGTCAAAACTTTTGACCATCCTTTAGTTTTGAAGACTATCATAAATTAATATACAGATTGTTTCCATGAGTTTTTATCTTGTAATTATATAGTATTTTCATCAAATCGAATTAAAAAAAATTTCAACTTCGAACATATCATTGTTTACATTTAGTTTTGTCACAATCTTATATAATCAGTAACGTTAGATTTCTATTAGAAATAATTAAGAAAAACTAATTGCAAAAGAAACATGTTTTATATAGATGAATTCTTGATTGATGGATATTTAATAAATCGAGTAGTCAAAAGATCATCACTTATGTTCATTTGGAGTATGAATATGAAACGGTCTCCTAGGCGTTTCAGTGACCGTTATTTTTTTAAAAATTTTTCAACGATCATCTCTACTGTAAAATCGGGTTCGTTAGCATCTCCAAACTTTCTATAGAAGAAATCTGGATTTTTTGGTTCAATGTCACCACATTGCATTTTTAAGGAGAGTCATACTCCCATGATAAGATGACATGCACCTATGTCTATTAGAGTGTAGTCATTAAAGAAATTATTTTAAATGGATAATAAATAAAAGAAAGACATTTGAGGTACCAGAACTGAAAGTGTCACGATTTCTAACCCGTAACAGAAGACACACAACGATAGCAATAGCTCGAGTAGATTTGATTTCCTCGTTTGTTCTTTTTTTCGGATCTGACATTGTTTATACAATTAAAACAGTAAAATACAAGAAAAGTGAAACGTACTGTCGATAAAGAACGTAATAGTATTAAAAGATCTTGAGTACTATTATGTGCAAATTGTAATATACTAATGAAATTGATTTTCAAATTGTTGTTCATCAAATCTACAACACAACAGACAACATTTGAACGATTTATAGAAAACTATAATTGAAAGAAAGATAGAAAGAAAATTAGCGTTATCAGAACTGTTCCATTATGCTAAAAATAAATATACCTGCTAATTAACTGTAAAGAGATGTGTTCAAATGAGAACAGACGGTTTTGTTTGGTTATTTTTGAGTGTACGTTTATAGAACACGTATACAATAAGAAAAAAAAGAAATTATTAAATACCAATTAATGTGTTTTTTCCTCAAATCTTTGATAAAAATAAAATGTAAACCTATAATACTAAGCAAATGAACTAATAAAGCACTGTTAAAGGCTTGAATACATTTAGTCATGTGATATTCATTAAAAAACAGTGGAATAACAGTAAAAAATATTTAAGACTTCATATGGCACTTGTTTCATCCATGTTATTCGGGCTCACCCAATGATTACAAATTAAAAACAAATAGTTCTCTTTTTGTATATATATCGACGTGCTCTATAAATGAGATATATCAAAAGAATTTGTTCATGAAAAAAATATTTTCTGAAAAATTCAATTCTTGAAAGATCTCCTGGCCTATTTCATGTTCATATTCGAAATAAACCTAAGCGAATTATATTTTGTTCGCTAAGTTTCAGCTGAAAATTGATTTCCAAGTATGGAAAATCTTCTTACAAGTGTTTTAAACATATTACATCAGTAGACTTTCATGTCATTCGGATTATTAATTTAATATTACAAGTGTATCAAAAAAAAAAACTGTTTGTGAACAATATATCATTAACTAATGATAACTATTCATAGCTTCCTTCCACTACCTATGACAAATGTATAGTATGAAGTTGACTTAAAGATCACGCCAGATTTTTGTCCGACCTCATACAACCTCGAAAACACTCAAACAACATTAAATACACACATAAAAGATAAGAAAAAAAAAGAAAAAAAAGAACAGTATTAATTTAATATATTTATGTATGAATCAGACAATAAGCATGTTTTTCATCTGTTAAATATATCAAAAACGAAATTCAACTGTATTACTGTATTGTATATTAGCTGTTTTTTTAATATACAATCAAAAGGCATTTAATTTATAAGTCATTTAAATATGATACAAACATTATTATCTGAAGTTTTGAATTTTTTTACATTATCTATTACAACATTAACAACTAGCAATATTATTTTACTCATACTTGTTTTATTATTAACTATAATATGTTACACATCTTATAGGAAACCATTCAATGCTCCACCCCGTTTTCCTATATTATTATCAATTTTACGTCGTAAATATGATTTTATAAATAAAGGTCCACTTGAACTTATTCAAGATGGTTACAAATCTTTAGGTGATATATTTCGAATACAATTATTTCATCAATCTGTAGTATTTTTAATTGGTCCACAAGCACATAAAATTTTTTTTGAATCAAAAGATACACAATTATCACAACGTGAAGTGTATACATTTACAATACCTGTATTTGGTAAGAATATTGTTTATGATGCATCACCAAAAATTATGCAACAACAATTAAAATTTATGAATAAAGGTTTAAATCTAATGAATATGAAAGCTCATGTTGGTAAAATAGTTATGGAAGCTGAAGAATGGTTTGATAAATGGCCTCAAACAGGACAAATTGATTTAATGAAAGAATTTTCTGAATTAATTATTTTAACAGCTTCTCGATGTTTATTAGGTAAAGAAATTCGAGAAAATGTTCATCAAGAATTTGCACATTTATATCAACAATTATCTGATGGTATGAGTCATTTATCATTTTTCTTTCCAAATGCTCCAACAAATGCACATAAAAAACGTAATTTAGCTCGAATTAAAATATCAAAAATCTTTGAAAATATTATTAAACAACGACGAATAAATCAAAATATTGAATATGATGATTTTTTACAAGTATTAATTGATGCACGATATTTAGATGATTCATTACCAACTGATAATGAAATAATTGGATTATTATTAGCAGCTTTATTTGCTGGACAACATACATCTAATATTACAAGTACTTGGATGGGATTATTATTAATAAAATATAAATCAGAATGGATGTCGAAATTATTAGATGAACAAAAACAAATTATGTATAAATATCATGGAGAATTATCATTAGATTCATTATCCGAAATGAATTTATTACATGCAGTTATGAAAGAAACATTAAGATTATATCCTCCATTAGTATTTCTAATGAGAAAAGTATTAGAACCAATATCATATAATGGATATATTATATCAAAAGGTGATATTGCTGTTGTATCACCATCAGTTGCTCATCGAATATCTGATGTTTTTAAAAACCCTAATGAATTTAATCCAGAAAGATTTTTAGGTGAAAATGCTGAAGATCAAATTGAAAAATTTAGTTTTATAGCATTTGGTGGAGGTCGACATAGTTGTTTAGGTGAACGATTTGCTTATTTACAAGTAAAAACCATATGGTCAATATTATTAAGAAAATTTGATTTTGAACTTTGTCAAGAACATCCCGAACCGGATTATTCAACACTTGTTGTTGGACCTAAAGCACCATGTATGGTTAAATTTAAACGTAAAATAGATTCATTGTAAAATTTCATATTTGGTTAAAATCAACGAAAAAAAAGAGGAAAGATAAATTTTAAGAAATATGAAGCAATAGAAACAAATATTTATTGAGATTATAATATAAAAAAAGGAAAATTAAACAAAAGAATATTCTTTTGTTTCAGGAAATAGGTTTTTATTTTATTTGAATTAGGTTCACATAATTGAACAAGCATTTGGATCGAATGAGCGAAGATGCTGTCTAAAAAAAATAGATAAAAATAAAATATTGTCAAGATCATTCTTCCAAAATAACTAATGATTAAAAAGTTAAAAGAAACATATGCAAACGCACAGCAAGCCAGCCAGCCAAAGCAATAAAGTGCATTTATCACGATAGACATCCTTGATGACAAGAGCAACCTTGTCAAGAATAATTTATTACGTGAAGTGAATACGATACCTTCACGATAAATTCAGGGCTGAAACGATTGATAGGCAGTTGACGGCCCCGATAATACTGATTGACCAGGTGGTCGATTAGGTGCTGTAGATGAAGCCGATGATCTACTTGAACTACTACTAGGTGAAACAAGATTTCCACTTGGATATGGAGTTTGTGATCTGTACATCGGTGGTTGTGACGGTAAATTTGATGAAAATGAAGGAAATGGTCGCGATAAACCTGATTGATAAGCAGTGGATCGCGGTAAATTTGATGAGAATCCAGGTAGTGATCGGACTGGCATATTTCGTGAGCGTTGGGCAGATGATGCTAATTGATCCGCTTGCATTCGTCGAAGTTCCGATAATACCTGAGCGCGCTGTAGCATCTGTTGTCGAATATCATCAAAAGTTTTTAGATTTGATGGGTAACGATTTGATCGAGACAATGCACCACGTATCATGCCTCTCGACGGTTCAGATGGCTCAAATGGAATAAGTAAGCCACCTGGGGTAAGCGGTACGATTGGCGGGGATGCCGATCCTGGTGAACCATCGGTTAATAAAGGGCTATAAACACGAGATATCTGTTTGGAATAGTAACCGATCATAAAATTTTTTTTTTTAAGCAAAAATTTAGCAGCCATTTTTTCCAAGAAGAGCATTCAATATTTCAGAGGAAAAAGTTCTTTCTATCTCTGTGCTTTAATAAGCAACAAAAGCATAACTAAGCAGGCACTAGTAATAGCGATTAGTAGTAAAAAAATAATTTACCTTGGAGTGCAAACCATTGTTGGCTGTGCAGGTGCACAAACCATTGGTGATTGTGCAGGTGTGCAAACCATTGGTGATTGTGCAGGTGCGCAAACCATTGCTTGTGGTGCACGTGCGCAAACCATTGCTGGTGGTGCAGGGGAACAAACCATTGCTGATGGTGTAGGAGAGCAAACCATTGTTGGTGGTGCAGCGGAACAAACCATTGATGGTGGTGTAGGGGAGCAAACCATTGCTGGTGATGCGGGTGTGCAAACCATTGGCGGTTTTACAGGTATACCAGTTGTTTTAGAAACAATCTAAGATTACATAAGTATATTCATATAAAACTTGTCAAGTCAGTGAGAATTCATACTTGAATAAGAGCGTTACGAAACATGTTTGGTCCCGATGGTGGTGGTGCTGATGCAGCAGGGACAACACACATCGGTGCATAGGATGGTCGACTCAATGATACAGCAGGAGGAGTTGCACAAACCAGTTGTTGGTTTTGAACTGGTAAAACGACTGTATCATATGGACGTTGATACAGAATTTGTGGAGTAACTAAAATAAACAAGAAAATAAAATAAATTTTTTTATAATTATATATTTTAGTCATAGTTAAACAAATGAAACAGTTAGAAATGGAAATTGTATTATTATTCTAATCAAAGACTACTACCAAGAAGGAAGTTTTTGATTAATTCTTACCTGTCACATTTGGAGCAGAAACTAAAACAAATTATTGATTGATAAGACAGGAGAATTCAAAGAAATGATTTTCTACTTTGAATAGTTGGCGATGGAATAACTTGTGAGGCACTTGAACATAGCTGAACGCATTGTGCAGCTGGTGTTTGTGAACTTGATATAATCTGTAATGGTTGAACTTGTATTTGAGGTTGTTGTTGAATAACAATACTTGGAGTTGCTTGACATGGTGTTTGCGATACACATATTAAAGATTGTGGTGATGAATTTGTTGATAAAGACTGGCACATAGATAATTGTGGATTATTATCAGCACAAAAATATTGTTGTGTTTGTTGAATAATATTGTTACTCGACGATGTACAACAAAAATTCTGTGACGGCATTGAATCAGCACATATGACTATTTGTTGTTGTTGTTGTTGAGGAACACACATGATTGGATCACATTGTTGAATTACCTAAGTAAAATAAAAATTGAGAAATGAATACAAATTTAAGAAAAAAAAAAATAAAGATTAATGAAAGCATAAGTAAACTATAACAAAATTTAGGTGTTTATAATAAAGCTATTTTCTTTTTCATACACAAGAATTTGATCCACAATTAATTGTTGTCGATGGAATACAACAGTTATCTTCAATACAGATTTGTTCAGCTTGTTCAACACAACATGGATTTATACATGATGGAGTAGATTGAGCACAAATCGTTGTACAATAATTGCCAACTTGAGCTTCATTTGCACCTGCCACGCGCTGAGAAATGAACTTATTTTCAATAGTTTTTAATGGAATGTTTCCTCGAGTTGTTTTCTATAGAATATGGTTGGATTGAAAAATGAATATGAATACCCAACAAAAAAAAAATTAATCATTAACTCACTTTTTCTTGATCTTTATTACGTACCACTGATTGAGAAATACTCTTCGATAAGCTTGATGGTTGAATATCAGCATCATGATAGACAACTGAAGGTGTTTTTTGATCATCAATTAATTCTGTTACAGTATTAGTATTATGAAAAGTTTTTGTTAAACCATTCATATTAATTGTATCATCTTTATTAGTAGATACTCTAGGATAAATAATCTTTGGTTGCTGATTTTGTTGATCTTGATCAATATGTTTTGGATTCTTAATCGAAAATTTCGATGGAGAAAGAATTTTTGGTTTTTGTCCAAAATATTTTGCTCGTTGTCGACGATGTTGATGATGACGATGATGATGATGGTGATGATGATGTTTATGTTTATGTTTAGAATTTCTTTTTATTGTAGATGGTGTATCTTTTGATAATTTTTCAATTGAACATACTTTATTTTGTTCATTTGTTATTGACGATGAAATCTTTATAGGTGCCTAATAAACAAAATTTTATTATGAAATTTTCTTCAATAAAACCAAATGAATAGAAAAGCTACAAAGCTTACAGCAAAAAAAGATGCACGTTGTTTTGAAATCATAGCTAGTTGTATAGCTCGAGTTTTAAGTCTTATCTATTCATATTAAGCATTAGATATATTGGAGCAAAAGCATATGTATATATGAATAAAAAAAAAATATTCACTTACCGATGATGACTGTATATCATCATTAACATGCATATTTGAGCTAGCTTGAATATCTACAAGTTTTTCAACTAAATAAATTCAAAAAAATAATTGAAAGATTTTTTAAATCACAAAATATTTACATGATTCTTGTTGATGTTGTTGTTCATTAGATTTTACTGTTACTGATTTTATCATGGTCATATCTGTGTTCATTGAAGGTGAAGATTGACATGATGCCCATGATGAATATTTTTTCAACATAGTTATTTGTGTATCTAATGAATCGATTCTAACCACTACGGAATACAGTTCATTGATATATATTTAAAAGTAGAAGAAAAAAGAGTCTTGTTTGTAGAAATATATATTCTAATAAGCGCGACAATATACGATGAAGGTTGTATAAATATATATGAGTTGAATGATACGAAAAAAAATGAGAATACTGATGTGAACAACAAATTACCAAAACGTTGAAATAGAACGAATAGCAATCAAGGATATCACAAGGTGTGCATGTTAATACTTATGAAAGATTCTTTGCTTTCTTTTTGTTATCTGATATACAACAAGAGGAATATTGTAATTATAATAGAGGTATATCAAATAATTATTCTTTTTTGATCATTGACATTGATATAAAATGTTTATATTACTGAGTTGTATCAATTGTCATAAAATACATTTGTATTGTTTAACTTTATGGCTTCATATCAAACGATCTGTCTGACGATGCTCATTTTATTTATTACTTATGAATGTGAATATATGTCATAAATAATGAAATGATGCTACACTTCTAAATTGTGTCGATGATTAACTTACGTTAATAATATATGAACGTAATTTTCATCAATCATATGAAGAAAATATTTTCACTTCTTCGCTCCGTTAACAATTTAACTGAATGAACCCAATGATTAAAAAAAAATGAGTTTTAAACATTGATATTGTCCTTGGCTTTTTTTTATCTTTCTTTATCATTTCAATACAATTAATGTATAGCTATACATTTGATCAATCAATATTGACCTATTTTACGCGTTCATCTGCCCCCTATTCATTTTTCCTTATAGATCAAATATTATCGTAGTTGTTATAAATAAAAAGAGAAGCAAAAGAGGAAACAAGACCACATACAAATGCCTACGAAAGAAAACACATTTGAATGAACATTATAGTCAATATGTGTATATAAAATTAACAAGAATATTTCCATTTTATTTTTTTGTAATTCGGAAATGTATTTGTTAATTAGAATGCGAACAACAAAATCACAGTAGGCTGCATTATTACGATCTTTGTTTATTATTGGACAAATAGAGGAAATGAATGCAGAGAGAAAAAAAAAATAAGTTCAACATCTAATCAGAATTAGATAGTTTTTTTTCTTATTAATGATAATGGTATTATTCCAAGGACTAGTTCACACATAAGAATGAACTTTTCATTATCAAACAAACGTATAGAAAATGCTATTCAACTAACGAATAGTATATTTCCATTAATTATATTACCATTAGCAACAGTTGGTAATTTACTTTGTTTTCTTGTTTTTTGTCGACCAATATTTCAAAAACGTTTAACACGTACATCCTCAATATGTCTACGTTTATTATGTATAAATGATTTAATTTTATTATATTTATTTACCATTGATGTTTTATTAAAAGTTTATATGGAACCATCAAAACGTATTTACTCAACACCAGAAACATGTCGTTTATATAAATTTATTCGTTATTCATTTTTGGATATGTCAGCTTATCTACAATTAGGTTTAACAACTGATCGTTTCATATGTTGTGTTCATCATACATATTATTCACATTGGCGTAAAAAAAATTATCTATATTATTTACTAATGACTGCATTTGTATTAATTATTCTAAAAAATTCATCATTTTTATCTCCATTATATGGTTATACAGCGCCAAGTCATAAACGTAATGTTACCAAATGTTCAGTTAAAAAAGAAGCAGCATATTTTGCAAGGTATATGGCTTATGGACAATCATTAATTGATGTTATTTTTATAACATGTGTACCATTTTTTCTTATAGTTTATTTTAATTCAAGAATTTTAAGAGAAGTATTACGTTTACGTCCTGAATGTTGGAGTACATTGACAAAAATAATAAATTTAAAACCAGGACAAAATCAAAATTCAAATCGACCTCAAACGGTTATTTTCGCATGTTCTCGTTCTAGACGTCGTCGTCTTCATTTAACATTTGCACTTGGTTGTATATCATTTGTATTTGTATTGAGTGCAGCACCATACAAATTTTTTAAAATTGTTGAAAGACATGATAAAGTTGTACGTGATCGAGATAAATATGGAGCTTCAAAGTCAATTAAACTACAATTAGCTGAAGTTATTATTGACTGTCTTCAATATTTTTCATGTTCAACACCTTTTTTTGTTTGTTTTACTACATCAAGCATGTTTAGAGAGGAATTACATCTTTTATTTCAATAAAAATATGGAAATATATAAAAAAGAAAAACTTAACAATGTAGCCCCTTTCGAAGCTAACATGTAGAACACACAAACTCTAAGTTTTGTAAACTTGTGGTATATTGTCCAAGGTTTTTAAGTAATTTATTTAAAAAGAAAAATGTTGCCAAATAAAAAGAGTAACACAAAATTATAACAACTTTTATGGTTGAGAAGTGCACTGCAATCTTCTCATTTCGAAACTGTTGACATATAGAATTTCTTTTCTACCAATTTATTTGAATCCTTTAACATCATTATACTATAAAAACTTATTTTGTATGATCAAATACATCGTCAATATACAAGACTTCCCTGCTCGTAATGATCACATATACATATGATAAATGCCATGGAAAGCGGCATATAACATTTTACATTTCGCTTGATCGGTTCAACCATCATATGAGCCTGCTATATACATTGATTTAATCGTTCAAAAAAGTTACCGCACACATCATTCGGTCTCTCGACGAATTATTGACATAAAGGGTAGAGTTTTGCCTGAATTTAAAACTCATTTGGCACATACTTTTCTATTCTCGTTCTATTTTGACTCCACTAGATTAAAACTAGGATGACTTGAATAATCGACTCCTGCAATAAGATCGTTTTGCTGCATTAAAACCAGAATCTGCTACATTTAGACTAGTTAGCATCTCCAGAGTTCCAGAATGATCTAAGCACTTCTATAATATAGACGCCTTTTCTCATTGCTAGGAAAACATACACGAAAATCTTTAGCTTCTCACTGTCTGGTTGCTAGTGCTATGATCCATATTAAGAACACGGAATCACATTATTCGTGTTATATATCTTCTTCATGTTCTCTTCCTTTCTTCTCTCTATTCTTTTTTGTCTTTTCTTGAGATGCATGATGCGTCTTTCAGCATTTTTTTGTGTGTATAATGGTTAGCATGGTATTATCTGAAAAAAAAAGATAAGAAGAATTAATAGTCAGATACATCTTAACATCCGCTATCTAGTTGCTAGGAGCGGCCCACAAAAACTTTGATTTAAACTGACAATCACTATTATTTTCTTGAAACATATGCGCGAGTTTCACAAAAAAGAACAAAGTAGATAGAAAATTTGACTTTCGAACCAGTTAGAATGTTCGCTGCCTAATCTTTCTTTATTTCGAAAATCACGGTTATATATATGTAAATGTGAATGTACTGGGAAAGAAAAATAAGTGAAAAGAAAATATCAACACACCTGAGCTAGACCAAGAAAGAAAGAATGATATGGAATATACCATGAGCGCAGAAAAGGAAAGAAAAGCTTGTTAGCGCAGCTCCTGTGGGGCTGAAATATGGAACTCACACATCTTTGGCTTCATTATATCAATCATAAAATACCCAATATTTAAATTCTCTAAAAGATAATAGTTCTTTTCTAATAATAATCGACTATCAGAAAACGCTGTCTTTTTTATCTCTATATTTTGAACAGACATTTTTCTTTTTTGGGTGAAGTTGCTACGGTCTGTAACGGAGGTGTCTGTAATGGGGGTCTGTCTGCAAGAAGGGGGGGAGTCGCGATACCTTGAACTTAAAACTTACACGCACTATTTTCTTTGAAAATATATGTGAGTTCCACAAAAGAATACATATGAAAACGTCATCTATAACAGAATGAAAGAATAGAAGAAAACGTAAGATCAACTCTCCTATCCTAACAGAACCGTTGTTTTTCTTTGGCTTAGTCAGTTTGATTTCAGATCAATATAAAAAATCGAAAATAAAAATCTCATATGACGAGTTTAGGTGATAGTGAGGCAGAAACAAAAATTTTTCACAGTCATTTGAAAATTATCAAAAAGTATGTATTTCCCATATTTGGTTGTTGTAGTATCGTCGTTAATGAGTAAGTTGAATTTATATATATATATAAGAGTAAAAAAGTCTCCAGTTTGCTCACATTCGATGGTCTCTCATTAGACGATCTTTTTCCAGTTCGTTCATAATTCCCAGAAAAAAAACGAAATGACAAACCTTCATTCATCTTCATGAGTATTCATTTAAAGAATTCTCTCTCAAATGAACATTACTTAAGTAAAACTTATATAATAATCTTGGTTAAAACGATGAGTCATGTCAGCGATCATTGTTAATACGCACATATTGAACACAAAAAACAAACAATACATTAGCATGGAATGCACAGCTACACATTGAAATATAGCTGTAATTAATTATCAAAGTTTACAATTATCAAACTAAGTCTGCAAAATCTTCAAAATATGATTTGTTCAGCAGTAACAACAAACAAATCAATCGTTTTCATCATATACATAACATACCTATACAATATAAAAGTTGACAATGTTTGTAATTTTCTTGCTACTCTCTCATTGATACTAAACATAATCATGAATCCTTCTAATTAATAATATTAAGATCCAAATGAGAAAACATCGAATGGAACCCAGTCGAGGATAAACAGTAAATGCATGATGTCTTAAACTTCATCATAGCAATACTATCTTTTTTGTTTTTTGAAAAACTGACTTAATCTTTTTATTTCTGATAGTAGGGAGGTATTCGAAATTTTTATTTCTAAATAAATAGTTTACTGAGACATTTTCATTCAATTAAAATCAAACTTGTTTGTAGATAATATTAACTGTAATAGTCTGAATCTCTTATCATTGATTTATACAAAATTTTATCAGAGAAAGATTATAAATAGTTAATGCTAAAAATTGAGAAGATACTTGAATTAAATTAGAAAATTCTATATTTCATTGAAAATTATCTCTAATTAAAATTTTTCTACTACTTTGCCTCAACTTTTTATTTGTATAACTTAAAAATTTATCATTTTTTTTTTTTACTAAAATCGTCACATTATTCATAATCAAAAAACTAGTTAAACAAAAGAAAAACTAACAAAGGCGAATCTATGTCAAAAGCACCACTTTCTTTGTTGATTTTGACTGATCCTAAAATCAACTTTAATGTCAATAAATATATCAAGCCTTTGAGTAGGTCAACAGAGTTCATATTTTATTTATCATGAATAATTTAGGACCTGTAAATATTGGTGTCAAATTAGAAAAAGATTAATAAGGTTAAGTCAATATTATGACTATTAGTTTTTACGTCGGAAAAAAAGAATTTTATAGTTATTTTCAATGAACGTAATTATCTTCTACATCAAATACCTCAATACAAAATAGCAAATTTAGTATTTGTCTAATCGTTTTAGTCACATCAAATGGTCAATCGGTAGTACCATGTATAAGAAATATTAGTGGTGACACTTTGGAGTTTGTCTGTTCGAGTCCAACAATCATGGAAACACTTGATATTGATAATCTTACAAATTCCACTTTAAATCTGATTAGAAAACTCCAAGTTATTGGAAAAAATATTCGAGGCCCATTGACATCTATTCCAGGCAATATTTGTCGTCTAACACAGCTTAAAGTAAATGTTATTATAATAAATATCTATTTCATCATTTTCATTTTTTCTAAATCTAGCATTTGAATCTAAATTTTAATCAAATAACTAATGTTGTCGTAAATTCGTCTTCATCATGTTTATTTCAACTAGAAACTCTTGATTTAAGTAATAATTTTATTAGTGAAGTTTCTATTCAATGGATTTCTCAATTACCTGCTCTGAAATCAATTAATTTATCAAATAATAATTTAACTTCTATACCAGATAAAATGTTTTATAATATTTCTAATGTAGAACATTTTGATGTATCTTCAAATAGTTTAACAACATTTGAATTATGGTTAATACAAATAAAAAAATTAATTAATTATTCAAATAATCGAGTAACACATTTTACGAATAATTATAATGTTAATCTTGCAAATTATCAATCTGATGTTACTGAACAAATTCTTTTACACAATACTCAAACAAGAATTCAATTTGATGATAGTATTTTTGAAATGTAAAATCGATGTGCAGAGATCAGTTCAACAAATAATAGAATTTTGATGAAAGCTATAAAAATAATAAATGAAAATAATACACACTTACTTGATTGGAATTGTTTATGCGACCAATATTATTTATACCAATATATTGTATCAAGTGATCCTACTAATATTTTTTTGACATGGATTTGTAGTGGAGATCAAAGTATCATTTATATTCAAAAATGTAATAATCAATCATCATTCAATGCTACAAATAGCCATCCACGTTTATGTAAACTTAAACCATCCGAAATCGAATCAAATCTGGTGTGTTTTTTAATCATATTTTTTTTTTTGTCAATACACTTACGAGAGAACGTCCCCAACTGTCAAATCGCTTTTTGATCAAGTATATGCTCAAACAATAGATCTTAATGAGCTATTAAAGACTCTACAAGGATTTGGTTTTTCAGCCTTCTATTGTCAAGTTATGGACCTTTTACTCGATTTTGGCTTATTGGTATAAGATTCTGCTGAGTACCTGAATGATCGAATTTCAAACTGAGATTTTGCCCATTGATAGGTCTTATAAGCACTAGAAACTCCTCTAAGTTTGAACCAGAATAAATAGATCCTTATCGAGATATTCACATTTTAAAGAAACGCTTGTTTTGAGCTGTGTTTCAAAATAGAGACATTTTCATGACAAGCTGATATCTCAATAAGGATGCGTTCGTTCTGGCTCAAACTTTGAGGAGTTTCTAGTGCTTATAAAGCCTATCTATGAGCAAACTTTCAGTTTGAAATTCGATCATTTACGTACTCAGAAGAATCTTATACCTATAAGCCAAAATCAAGTAAAAGACCCATACCTCTACAACAAAAGGCTGAAAAACCAAACCATTATAGGGTAGGGGTGGGCCATTTCATTTAACGGAACTTAATTAATGACATTAATTAATGTTTTTCATTCACCATTAATATTAATGTTAATGTTTTTCATTAATCATTGATATTAATAGTTAATGTTTTCATTTAAAAACTTAATTCATTAATATTAATGATTAATGAAAAACATTAACATTAATATTAATGATTAATGTTTTCTCATTTAATCATTAATTCATTAATATTAATGATTAATGATTGATATGAAGCAAATATATTTTTTTTATTTTGATTTCTTCATGGAAGAAAAGTTAATTTAAGAAATACTGAGGGTAATCTCGATAATTTTTTAGGGCCTCTCTAATGGAAACCATCGTAACTATTCAAGATAGACTTCATTAATCAATCAGGAAAATAAATTTTAAGAAAAAAATTAACATACGTCATTTTTTTCATCAATTGGTTTCTCACGAAAAAATATCTTCAGATTTCTATGGTCTACAGAGAAATACCAAATAATGGACCTAGCGTCCCAGAAAGGAAACTCGATCTAATTTTATTATCCGAAGAATCAATAGTCATCCCTGATTATTTTTTACAAGTTTATTTTATATTTTCTCATGACTCATTTTTAATGTCTGGGGTCTCCTCAGGGATCGAAAAATATTATTTTTGTCGTCGTTCAATTAGAAGTCTCTATAACTTGGCAGGACTCAGTGGTTTGATTACAAATCCGACAATTTTTTTCTTAAATTAGTTGGATAATAACAAACGTCTATAACACTTTTTGAAAGCGTTAAAAAACGTTTTTCGTCCGGAGGTCCATCCAAATTCAATTTAGGTTCACAAAACTAGACTTACTCGACACAAAAGTCTTTTCTCTATCAAAATTTATAAGGAGTTTGAAGACATTCAAACCTTTTCCTACACAATAACTGCCCAATACCGCCCAGATTGAGTCATATTGTCAAAGCTAGTGTTTGTTTAGTCTTTTGAAGTTACAGTTTATACAAGTGCATCAGTAAGATTATTCTATTAAATATGTAATTCTATATGTTCTTTCTAATAAAACTGTTTTAAACTTGAAAATCGATGTCTAGTAAAGCACTTTTGCTCAAATATTACTCATAGAACCCAATTTCTATCATTTTCGTTTCCTATTCGACGCTTTTCGAGCAGAACAATCCTGGTTTGACTTCAAACAAATATTATATTTAGAATCAGCATAATGCTCTATGTCCACCTATGTGCATTTGAAATTGTTTCTGCGATCTTGTTTCGATCAAATTTTTGCCCCTGATTCTCCTGCAAGATAAATGAAAAAATAAATATGATGAAAACAACTATCGGATTGGTACATAAGTTCTGTAGATTGTTTTGTGTTTTCGGCAAATTTAACGCCTTGCACGTCGTGATTGAAAAGGGATAGAACCCTGAAAATTTTAGTACAATTCGAAGTCAAAGACATCTAACTACACTAAAAGTTTCAGACTTCTATCACTTTTCAATCATAAGATGGAAGGCCTTAAATTTGTCTAAAACACAAAAAAAGGTGCAAAACTGATGTATCAATGGGATATTTTATGGGTTATTTATTGTTCTTTTGCCTTCAAGCAGGTATTTCACAAGTTTAGAACATTGTTTTGATTGTAGAAATGACTTTTTCAATAAATCAATGTTTCACATATTCAGTCGCCACGCGAAGTTTCGAAGATTGGGAGAGGTGTATGACGAATTATGGCATATAAATTGGGATTTTCAAGAAAATGTTGCAAAAAAATGCGTAAAATATAGTGGAAATGTGCACTTGTTGTTGGGAAAGAACTAAAAGCTTCTGTTTATTGAAGGAGACTCGCCTAGACGCTCGCTTACATGGAACCTGCAGATATCTTTTAGAGAATAAAGAGCAAAAATTTAATCTAAAAAAAGATCGTAAAAACAATTTCAAATACGCACAATCTGCGTGTAAAAAGTCTTTACACTAGGGGTGGACCATTTTATTTAATGGGACTTAATCATTGACATTAATTAATAACTTCACTTAACCATTAATATTACTGATTAATGAAAAACATTAACATTAATATTAATATTAATGAAAGATATTAACATTAATTTAAGATTAATGTTAATGGTCCACCCCTATTATAGGGCATTTGATAACTCACTGCGATTTATCATTTGAGCACATGCCCGGTCCAAAAGCGATTTGACAGTTGGGGACGTTCCCTCGTAAGTGATTATGAATATATAAATTTTAATTAAAAGAAAACTAGCAAGACGTATTAATATTCAACTTTTGTTGTTGTTTTCGTACTTTGTTTACGATTTATCTTTTTTTGAGAGACATTCATGAGTAATTTAAGTTTTTTATATTTGTCAAACTACAATGACTTTCTTCCTGTTCATATTCTTATGACTTTAAAAAGTATGTACGCATAAAACTAAAATAGAACAAATTTGATTTCTTGTGGACCAGTGTTTTGTTATCTGGATCTGAATAGAATATCACTTCTAACAATACTAGAAAATCTAAAATTCTTTAGTCTTTAAACAAAAAATGATAGTTAACATATTTATCTAAGAAATATTCATGAGCAACGAATAACCGATCATTCATTCGTAGATATAAAGTATAGTAAACTTATGGAATAGAAGCACTAAAGGCTTTCTTCATTGAAGCTCTTTTTACACATCAGAGAGATACAAAGAATTTTCATTTGTACAGCAATGGTTCAATTTTTCCAAAGTATCTGTCTAAAATAAACTTCAACGAGAGATGTATAGAGTGAGATTTTTTCCGTACCCTTGATCATGACAAGAAAAAATTTTCTAACCGTTATTCTATCCTATCAGCACATCTTTAATTCCTACAATAATTTGTTCAACTAGATTGACTCAAGATAAAAACTTGCTAAACTATATATATTAATTATATGTTATCTAATATGCAATAAGTTTCGAATTAATAGACTTGTAGAAATACGAAAAAACCTTTCGATTTATGATCTATTTTAAATCTACATAAAATCATTTATAAGAAAATAACGAAAGAAAAAAACACATGATTATTATTCTTTTGATTAGTATAATTTTTTATCAAATATTAGAAACTTTTTTTGATTTTTTTTTCAGACATTTTTAGACAATGTCTCTGATTTGGAAAGTATTTCATTGGAAATTTACAAAAAAGTACGTCTATAATAAATTTAATTATAAAGGTTTAGAAAGTTGTTTCTTCGATTTTAAGCTATTGACATTTCATCTAGCAGATACAACAATAATCAATGAATTTGTTGCTGTAATCGATTATTCTACTAATAAATTATATCAAACCTCTGATCAACCAATTACTGAAAAAATTCAAAACAATTTTCAAGAAATAATTTATCTTATTGAAGGTTATCTTGAATCAATCAATACTACAATAAACATTAGTAAGAATTCAATTGGTATTTTAAGTCGTTTAAAAACTAATCCAATCTATTCTTATTCTCAAATCAATGAAAACAATTCATTTTTATATTATTCAACAGAAACAACTAATGCAAATTCAATAGCAAGTATATCAATTTATCCAACATCAATCGAAAACTTATTAGACACAGATATTTATACATTTTATTATCTTCCATCATTACTTTTTCGTTATGCACAAAAAGATCGAAATATAATTATAGATTCACCTATTACTGGTCTACATTTACCGAATAACGCTTCACGTTTTATTAACATGTCATTTATTGACAATAAACTTTCATCTGGAAAATATTCCTGTGCTTTTTGGCAATATAATCGATGGAATAATACTGGTTGCTCTTATTCTCTAGATTCCAATTTAAATCGTCATCTCTGCTTTTGTAATCATACAACATCATTTGCATTAATATTTATTCCACATAAAACTTTAAAGATTCTCATTATACCATTTATAATTTTTGCTATAATTTCAATAGTATGTTTTTCTATATCATTAATTCTTTCAATGCATCGACAAGCAAAATCTTTTCGTCATCTATCAATAGCAAATATATTTAGTTTATCAAATTCAATTATTTTCTTTATATTAATTACTGTTATTATAATTCGTGCTAATAAATCATCAAAAATAGAATCAATAAATCAAGATAAATGTTCAACATTACCTAAAAATTTAACTATTGCAACTTATTTTTTTTTCATATTAACATTTGCAAGTAAAACTTTACTTGGTATTGGATATTTTTTAACAATACTTTATCATTTTATTTTCATTCAATTTACAGCTATATCGAATAAATGGTTTTATGGAAGTTTTTTGCTTGTTATTTTTATTGCTTTAATACCAATAATAATTATTAGTATAATGATGAATCAATGGACAAATTTATTTATACAATATCAAGGGATATGTTGGTTTCATAAATCATTTATATTTCGATTTATTTCAATACCAATAATTATATTTCTTTCATTAAATATATTAATTTTATTTGGAATAACTGTTCGTTTAATTCAATTTTTTATTGATCGTAAAATGTCACAAACAAATGAAAAACGAATGTTTGTTTCAATAATGATATGGATTACATTATGTATATCATTAGGTATTGCTTGGATATTTGGACCATTTTTAGATTTTATCATCAAAGAGGAAAGTCAAACATCATCAAAAATTATACAATGGATATTTGGTATTTATAATGGACTCGAAGGTGTATGGATATTGGGTATTAATGTAATGTTTTATTTAAATCAAAAATTGACAAAGAAATATCGTTCAAGAGTTACAAATAAAGCTAAAAATTAATAATTTTAAAAATAAAGAGAGAGAGAAAGGATAATTATTTTGTTGAATTTCTTTTCTTATATTTGAATTTTTTTCAAACTGCATTATTCTGCTTTTTGAGTAGATAAAAAGAAAGAAGCATGTTTTTTGATTTGTCTTCTTAAATATCAATGCGGTGACACCAATGTATTTGCAACTTTGTAAAACGTTCGTAAAACGGAATCCTGTCGACTGAGGAAAGAGGAACAAATGTCCACATTATACAAAACAAACGAAAATAGATATAACGGAAGATCGGATAGTTTTTAGACAACAAGATGTTTTTTCACTGGCAGCACATTCACAACGAAGCAAAAACTATGAGTTTAGATACTCTTGTAGAAATATAAATTTTGAAATTTTGTGTTTACTTTTATTCAAAAATAGTCAAAGATCTGAAATATTATTTTTAATCGTGAACCAATAGGTTTTTGTTTACCGTATACGTCCTACTTCGAACATACTACAAAATTATACGAGTTGACCGTTTTGTAAAGCGAACACGTCTCTACGAAATGTTACATTGAATTAAGCTGTAGTTTCTACTCAATCATTTTTTTCAAGAGCTCTTTTCAACATGAAACGGGTCATCGATTGTTCAAAAAAACGAGTGTTTAAGAAAAACGAAAATTGAATTGCCTTGATGAAAGACACAAAAAAACTTGAAGACTAGCTTCGATTCTGCAAGCTGATACATAAATAAAAATCATAACTTTTAGTTTTAAATCAAAATACGAAAATTTTCCGTTCGGAATAATTTTTTTGGGTTTCTTTTTTTCAAAAATGACCCCATTGCTCTCGAATAGAAACTGAAACAAGATTTTTCAGTTGATATTCGAAAAGAGCATTGACATTCGTATTTTTTATATTCACAAACTCTATGGTCTCGTTTCTTGAGTCGAAAAAAGTAATGCTGATTTTAAAAACAAATATCGTACTTGTTATGTGTTAGAAATATTGAATTTCTGTCCGCCAGTTGTTTTGTGATATTTTGAGTATGATTTTTACGAAACATAATTCTATTGTTTGTCAGCTTTCTATTTATTTGAAAAGGAATTTATGACTTTCTTAGAAGACAAATAAAATGATATTACGATCTAATGGCTAAAAACACAGCTTTGCCGCCCATTGTATATTGATATTTAGATTAGGAAGATGATATTTACCCTAAGATCATTTATGCCAACTTTCGAGTAAAGTCGTGATGAACAAGCAAGCTAATTGATACTAACTATACAGATTAGAATGAGAAAATAGGTGAATTTCTATAGATAAGAATATTTTATTCTTGTTAAGAAACATCGCTTAGCGATTATTTGAAGGAAAAAAAGCAACAATGCACGATCACCAATATATGACTGATGATATGTTCTAATTTTATATGTTTTTTTTAAACAAATTTTATTTCCGATATTCAATTGATAGGAAACGATACCTTTGATGATGCAGAATGATTATCATCGACAATAAATATGTTCTTTCTTAGCAACATAAAACAAGCAATACGTTGATTTTGTTCTCAACTATTACTTTAACACTATGATTACTGCCAACAATTTAGAGAAAAGCTTCATGAACAAAGTTAAATTTAGTCACCGAGATTGAAGACCAAATATTCATACTGCTGTAGATGACAATACATGCTGAATAGAGTGTATGAATCTATGAAGAGAGATGTCATAGTATCTATACATTGGGTAACAACAAACTACAAGTCAAAATATCCAGAAAAGTAGAAATTCAGATCAATACTCATATATCTTCTGAGTTCAGAATACTGAGTTAAGGGTGTAAAGGTAGTTCTTCTTTTGATACTCTCACCGACAAATCTACACATCCACATCTACGCATATATCCTACATCCCAATCAATGTTTAAAAGTTAAAGCAAGTCTTGCTTTACCTTTTATTAATATTGAACGAGCATCGGTTAGTAGACGTTGTTTTTTCTATGACAATATTTTAATAATTAAACTATACTTTTCATCTGTTTAAAAGAGATTTAAATTTAGAAAAAAAAAACAATTTATTATTTTGTTTTCATCACGATATTGAAAACAATAGCTTGCTATTTCTTATATTTTGCTCGTGAAATTTACATACAAAAAACCTTAAAAATGACAATAAAAACAAAAAAAAAGAAAAAATTTACATGAATAAAAAAATTCATTTGATATAACAATAACAAAAAAAAAGAAATGAAAGTCTAAACTCCTGTAACATCAGATGAACTACTGTCGGCATCTTTCCGATGAATTAATGCTGATGTCATTTTTAATGATTTGTTTGCATTAGATGTTTCTTGTACATCTTCATCAAGACGTTCCATACCTTTTCGTGGAACAGCACTTTTTTTCTGTCGACGATTTCTTTTCAATTTTCGATTATTAGTTTCTACTTGAATATCACTTGTAGTAGATGATGGTGCAGTATGCAGTTGATCTGGTTTAATTGGAAATCGAAATGGTGAAAGAGTTGGTTCTCGTCGAATTTTACCATCATTTGTTGTTGGTGGAGCTTGTTGTTGTATCGTAGTCGAAAGAATTTGTGGTGTAAGAATGGTAGCAGTGGAAACTCTATCTACTAAAGGTTGTTGTGATGGTGTACCATACATATAACAATGTCGCCGTTTTTTTTGAATTTTTTCTACTTGATTTTGACGCCATGCTTGCATATGTTGATCATGACTCATTTGTGTACAGAATGTTGGAGAAGTTAAAATTGACGAAGCTGCTAGTGGATAATCAGCTGTGGATTGATTTGACGTAGGTAAAGGTTGAAATAATGAGGGCACAAAAGTTCCTTGTTGTAATCCACGTCGCATTGGATAATCATTTACTTGTTTCTCTTTTGATTTCGTACTACTATCAGATGGTGGATGAATAATAATATCAGGAGAAAGATGAAAACCAAGACTTTGATCACTTAAGTTTGTATGTATGAGAGTTCGTTGTTGTTGATTATTTGATGAGATTACTGTAGGTGTTTGTGATACAGATGAAATGTGAGGTGTATTCATTTGTTCAGCAATAACATCATATAACATCTGTGCACGATTTGCAATATATCGTTCAGCTGGACTTTGTGGATAATCACTAACTACAGATACAGGCACAGATAATACACGATGAGTTGATGGAGGTCGCCATTCTAGTGGTGTTGGTATATCTGATGTTAATGATTCTAAGCTGAAAGACAAAAAAACAAACAATTAAAATAAGAACAACTATTGTTTAAATGTAAAATATATTTTCTGTACGATCTTAAAAATCATTAAATTGAAAGTATATGTATGCAACTTAAAACGGAAAAAATTTTCTTTAAATTGTTTTGTTAAAATAAAATGATCTACGTTGTAGTTTTAGAGCAGAAATGTCCATAGCGACGCGACTTTATCGGTGTCAGCGACAGATTTTTTTCTTAGGAAAACTGTAAAGTTGAATGAATTTGCATCTGATATGAGTGTCTACATGTCCAACAGGTCAGAATCATTTTGAATCTGATGGTTTCAATCTAACTGTGCTAATTTATCAGAGAGATAGATGAGATTTTCGAAGAATTTCTTGAAAAACATCGTGATACTGGCCACTTATATAGTTCACTACTTTGCAGCGACATGCTCTCAGTTCTGATGAACACCTATATTTTAAAGTTAAACTGATAAGAAGAAATTTTTTTTTCTTATCGAATGGATATTTTTTTCTAATACAATATGCAAGATGTATAACATAGAATAAACTCACCCTTCAGATGGTCTTACTACCATAGATTCTGTTGTAGGCTTGGTAGTTTCTGGTTCTTCAGTTGTACTAATTGCTGAAAATTGTTGTTCCTCAATAAGAATACTTTTTTGTAAATGTAAATGAGCAAGTCGACTTTGTATTTCTTTTCTTAAATCGAATAAATGATAATTTCTAATAAGCGTGTAAAGTAAATGCCAACGAAAACGTAATCGTTTCCTTCGTATCATTTTTTCATCTTTTTCTGACTTGATTGAAGTATTCACGGTCGAAAGAGCTGTTGGCACTTTAGAGAATGTCGTTGGTTTTGATTTTAAAAGATGAGAATCGTCTTGTTCTTCTTCTTTCTCTTGTTCCCCCTCTTCTTCCGTTTCGGCGTTGGTATCTTCAGATGTTTTTTGCTCTTCCAATGCTTGTTGTTTATTGGAATGACTGGATGACATTTTTAATGATTCCACTTTTGAATAAGAACGATTACTAACACCTGATTGAATTGTATCATTTACTATTACCGAATAATGACTATCATCATCATCATTTGTATCTTGATGAGTATGTTGTATGGGAGAAATACGTGATCGATATAGAGTAAGCGGTGGTGTACTTTGTTGAGCTTCACGATATGAAGTTGTTCGTAAAAGATATAAATCAATTGGACTTGTTGCTAAATTATATGATGGTGGAGAATAGACTGTTGTTGCTTGTACATCAGCACTTTTTTTTTCTTTTAGAACTGTGCTTTTATGAGATTTCTCTATCGGTTTGTTAGCTTGTATATTTTGACTTGTATCAGGCTTTTTTCGTCCTTTACGATTGACGGTTTCATGTGATGTTGAAGTTTTATCTTGTTGATGTTTAGATGATCGCGTAGTACTATTAAAAGTATCATCCGATGATGATTCTTCTTTCATTATTCGATTGTCCACTGTACGTTGTTTAGATGGAATGATTATTTTATTAGTATCAGAAGTTTTACTAATACTCGCACTATCATCATCTTCTTTTGCAATGTTTTTCTTTGCTTTATGTGAAATTTTCTTTTTGTTAGAATGTTGTTGTTGTTTCGATGTGGCACCATCATCATCGTTGTCTTCAATCATCGTTTTTTGTTGTGATGTCTTTTTTCTTGTTTCCGATCGTTGTTTCTTCTTTTCAGCTGCTACTGTTATTTGTTTAGATAGACTACTGTCTTCATCGTCATCTTCGTGAATTTGTGATTTTATTAATTTTTTCTTTTTCTTTT